CTAGCTATTCATGTGTTTTCCTTTCTTCTTTATTACGTGCAATGTCCCTTCAGAACGTAAGCGGTCATGGTTCTCCACAATTTCCTGTCCTCCGTAGCTCTTAATAAATTTTATCTATTTTTTTTTATTTCTCTTAAACCTTAATCTACTATCCATTTACTCAAACTCTCTATATATGTTATACATTATTTTCCTCTTTTCCTCTTGCCTTCAGTCTTTCCTGTGAGTATCAGATTTTCCAAACCCTCTTTCCTCATTATGTGCTTTGGAAATTTCAACTTTCTCTTCCTGAAGTTAAATATAACTTTCATTTTTGTTTCTATTTTCTGTAACACTTCATTGTTGCTCACAAGTTCAGTTCATGGTATTCTCAGCATCCTTCTGTAGAGTCATATCTCTGTTTCTTCAGGTTTCTATTTTATCTTTGAGGAGATTGTGCAGTATTCACTGCCATATGAGGACTGATATTGTATAACGGTTCAGTACTCTTTTCTTTGTTTTAATAAAAAGTCTCTTAATACGTTAACATCTGTCTATATTTTTGGGATGAGGCATTGTTAGCTATTTACATTGGTCGGACTCTTTTCCTCATCTTTATTGTCCTGTTCACAGCGTTTTGGCCGTTGTGATCTCCTGCCTTCTTCAGGTGATATACGTTATCCACAAGGATATACGGTCCAGTAGATAAAAGCGTTGGTTGAAGTAATCCAGTGACTTGACTCAAAGAGTTGTGAGTTCATTACCTGGCCACAGCAAAGGTGAACAAAATCTTGGATAGTTGAGTTACTAACTGAAACTGACAAATCCAGAAAAGGCATGTCACGTGGAACTAGAATAATCTACTCCAGTGGACGAAATAAGGGTTCTGTTTGAAATGCTAACGTATATGGCCTGAAAAATGCAGGAGCGTACAACGGCCGAAACGTCTATCCGGAATGACAGGTACCTGATGAATTATCTGTCTATATTTCTGAGATGAGATATTATGTACACTATTTACATTATTCGGACTATTGTCCTCATCTTTGTCGCCATATATTATTTTTTTTACCAGTGCTCATAATGCAATTTTTGTTGTTATTATTGCTTTTCTCTGGCGCTCCTTATTACTGGTTCCCATATTGTATTCATTTCTATGCTTGGTCGGCTCAGGATATTTTTGTGGCTTAGCATATGTGCTGATTCCTTAAGTTTACGAATTTTCTAATGGTGTTCTTTGTCTATCATTTCAACCCAATCCCTTTTATCTTCATATGTGGTCAGCTACGCCTGATTTTTCCACTTCCCTTCGTGTTATAGCTTTCTGGTATTCTTGAAGCGTTACCTTAAGGGGTCGTCCTCTATCCCCTTGATATTTCTAATGTAAAATAGTGTATAAAGGGTTCAGTTCGAAATGCTAACGTATATCGCCAGAAGAATGCTGGAGCGTACAACGACCGAAACGTCGTGAAGATGACAATAAATACGAAGACAACAGTCCAAATATGAATTCAGTGTTGATATCAATAACAAATAGTGAAATACATTAGATATTAAATGACGGAAATTTATATCTTAGAGTTATCATTGTTTATGTTATCCACATCCAGACTATTGTCATTTATCGCTACAGTTCTACCGTTGGGCCTTTCGGTTTCCTTTGAACCCCTGTCTACACTGCCCGGCTCAGACAATGAACAGGGCGAACGATAATTGAGCAGTATTAAATAAGACAGCAGAACGTGAACAATCTACCCCTGTAGATTAAATAAAGGGTTCACTTCGAAATTCTTGAATTCTATCCGGTTTGAGAAGTACATGATGAAGCCCGAAGAGTATAACAGCCAAAACCTAACAATAAAAATGAGGACACTAGTATTATGTTTTCTATAGTCCTGAATACTCCACGAATTTTCAGTTCTTCCTCACATTTTACCAAATCATTTAGGTTGGTATGTTTCTAGTACTCCGATAACAACTGGCATGACTTTTGCTTTTATTTCTCACATCTTCTACTTCTTGGCAAGATCGATATACTTATGCGTCTTTTTACATGCACCCAGACGTCATCTCTTGTCCGTTGGCAGGTTTTCTTTTTCTTGTTTGTGACAACCAGATCTAATTCTCTGGTTTGGTTTGGGCAATCCTTTTGAATCGAAACCTGAATAATTTTGCCAAAGTCATGAGATTAAGTTATCACTCATGCAAGGAAATATTATACTGATTAAATACATGATTTAAAACCAAAGAAATATTTGTTTCCATTTCATAAGAATAATTCGTCCTTGAAATGATGCATTTCTTTTCCCATGCACCAAGGTGTACTGCACCCTTGTGTAAATTAACTGAAACAACTGATTTAGTTTCCTTTCTTTTATTATTCGGTCAGTGTTAGACCCACTAGAGTGACACGGTGTAATCGATTTCTACCTTTTCTTCAGATGAGGTCATTTGCAGTGATATGCAGTAATATGAATCTATTTTCGGGATGTATGATGAAATTTGTTTGGTCTTGAAAAATATTGCGTCATCCATGATTGCATCAGAATTTTATCACGATCAGACACTACTGTCTCGACTGTCGATTAGTTGTCCTACAGCCAATATCTGCGATGGACGTTACTCCTAGGCAGCCTACGGAAATTGTAACACTGCACGAACACAAGCCTTACCAGTGATCAAATCAAAGTACTATATATTGGCTCGGAAACTTTCCTGATTTAAATCCAATCGAGAATCTGTGGTCAATCTGCAATGAACGACTTCGTGGAATGGACATATGAAGTTCTAACATGGGAACTGGGTTATGTTTCATTGAAGAAATATGTAAAAAGTAAATAATAACGCAATTATTCGTTTTGCTTAATAAACAACTCTTTTCATAAGGGTGTATATACACTACTTCGGTTAGTAAATAAACTAACAAGTGACAGGTAAAGAGATTCACTTAAATCATTTCATTATAGAAGTATATAATCTTTGCTTATTGTTAATATTCTCTATTCATTCGTTGTTTGATTTAATATTCTCTTTTTCAAGTTCCTTTGGATATTTCTACAAGAAAACGCCGCTGACGTAATATCAAGTTCCATGGCTTTCCTTTGCATTTTTTTTCGAAGAATGGACCAAATATTTAAAAGAGAAAAAACATTAGCAAGAAACAAATCTTTATAGAAGTCCAAATTCATTAAACGTAAGTGATGGCAGATGTAACAAAAAGAAGAATTTTAAGTAACAACAAACAAAGACTTCACGTATTTCTCGATAAATGCAGACTGTAAGACATTCTAAACAGGGTTTTCAGTTTAGATGAACACAAAAGCCTCTTCAGTTCCTAGAATGGCAAGAAATGATGCCACTTGCTCTCTCATTACGGAAGCAGGCACTGGTGTCACACGTGATTTGATTAGTTATAAAAACAGGGTTTTTTTTGTGGATGTGCAGGTTGTGCATCGGTTATCGACGTAGAAAGTGAAATCAGCGATCCGAATTCAATTTCCTACCTGAACTGTTACGTTTAGGTTTCAACTTGCTGATGCTGTCTCTTACATTTTTCTTGGAACAATAAAGGCACAGATCCGTATCTTCTACTTGTCGATTAAATAGCAGAATAGATTGGGATCTCTAGCTGTGGATAGAAGCCAATCAAAGAGAAAAGTAGCCCTGAATTCAAAACCGTGAAGATGAAAACAGGAAACCAATAGACTCTTTCTTCCAAAAAGACATAGCAATCTACTGTTTCTTCCAAGAAGACATGGCAATTCACAGATAAGAAACAAAGGAATCTCTGGCCGTCCCTTGGTAAGACGATAAACAAAATCCAACATCAAGTCTCTGATCAAGATTTGAGGAGCGTGGAATTGCTGGTGTTCCCAGGTTTACCCTGAGCAGGAGTGGTAGCACCTTTTAGGGTCCCAGATATGGGCAAATAGTTAACACCCAAACTGTAGTCATATACCAGCAATAAATTTTTGTAAAAAATTATTACCAGGAATGAATTTCTGAAGAAAAAAATAATATTACCAACAATAAAACTCTTGTTGGCATTAAATAACCCATTGAGGTTGATATGCCATAAAACAAATCAAACCAAACAAAACCGGTGCGAGTAAGTAACGAGGAAGATTTAAAGTAGAGGGTAACAAAAATAAAACTTATACTCAGAATCCAAAAAAATATAGCTGAAATTTCTTAGACACTTAACGAAGAAAGACAGCTTGGAAAATTTAGCAGTCACAGGGCATATCGACGGTAAAAGAGACAAAAGTCAGTGCGCCATGATTTTATGTGAATTGATGACAGGATGAGGTGATTTGCCATGGGCCGCAAGAGTTAGGAAGTTTTGGAGAGCTATGATCGTTATACGTTAGGAAGGACACGGCACATAGAAGAACAAGTGGCTTAGGCAAACTTAAGAGAAAATAATCTTTTCGACACAATGTCAAGGCGAACTTTCTGTTCCATAAATATTTATAATAAAAGGGGATAGTGAAAAGAAGAGCGAATAACTTGTCCAACTGATTCATAAAATTGATCCAACAATCGATTAAATTCGCTCATCCTTTTATTTTTCTTCAAGAATGTGTATTTAAGTCAAACAATAGAAAAGCCGCGTAAATTTCGTCTCTTTGCAAAGAGTAGTATCAGGCAACAAAATATTTAAAAAAAGTTTTCCCCAATAAATATTCCCAGGTGGCAGTGTTGTAGTTTTTTAGTCATTCATTCTGATAACGTTCAAGAACTATGCTGAAATTTAATGCAAAATAAAACGCTAAAAATTCGTACTAGAATCGTAAACAGAGGAACAATGAAATAGTCGACTGCAAATTATTGACGGTGTTAACGGGAAGGAATGTTGTTCGTTGTAGTTCTTAATGGCTGCCTCGAAACAAATTCGGCTATGACACAGAAGAAAAATCAGCCCATCAAATCCGAATATTCAGTGTAGTGAGGTGTAAATACGTCAGGTGAGAAGACATTAGTTATGCTCACAAACAGAGGTTGATGATATTACTTGAATACTAGGATTGAAGAGAGATAAAGAGAAAGAAACAAGAGAGAGATAGGGTGTACATGGTTAAAAGGACGGAGATATATAAGCAAAGAGTAAGGCACAAAGAGGATAAAGATAGATACATAGATAGGAAGAGAGAGAGAGAGAGAGAGAGAGAGAGAGAGAGAGAGAGAGAGAGAGAGAGAGAGAGAGAGAGAGAAAGAAAAACAAGAGCAAAAAAAAAGTAGAAAATTGAGAGAAAATAATTCAATACGAACGAGAATAAAACCTTCGGAATCCTAGACTGATATTTGCATCTACGTCTATTGCTGATTTTACAAGTAGCCGAATAACAATGACACTATTATACTACTATTTCTGAGGTAAGGAGGAGTAATGATAGCAGCTCTATTGAGCAATCGGAGAGCCGAGTTCGAATTCCAGTCGGGTTAGTTACATACACTTACGTGCCAATACCCTTCGTACACCAGCTTTGGGTAAATAGAAGGACACACTGGATTCTATAGCCTTGGGTGGCAACCGGGTTTGGAGAAGTTCAACTCTGAATTCAAATCCTCCAACTATGGGTAAAATATCATCACCTACCTGCAATTGGTCAAGAGTGGTGAGTACGGCTACACCCCTAAAGACATGGTCAATTAGCTATGGCACCTTTAAGGAGTGAGAAGCCCCTGGATCTGTACCAATCAGCCTTCATCCCAGGTACCTTTTTTGATATCTTTTATTTAACAACCCCAGCACTACAATAGAGATATTTATAATTAAGTAATTCATCGAGTCTAGAAGATGAATTACTTAATTAACATTATCTCGAATCTTCCTAATTTCTATCATTTGTATGTCCTTGATTGAATCGGTTTCTAATTCTCTGGATGGAGCGGCTTGGTGATAGTAGTCGTGGCTCGTGGAGTCACAGTCCTATGGGTAAAAGAGAAACTCGGGTTAGTTCCACCACGGAATATGTGATCGAGCGGCGCTACATCGAGTCTTTTTCGCTACCCATTCGTCACCGATGCCCGTTGGAACAGTTGGTATGACGTTTGCCTGATAGCGTTACTGTTCCGGGTTTCAGTTCTCGGTAGTGAATGCGCACTGCTGATGAGTCCCAAATATAGGACGAAACGGCCGTCCAGTGCTTTCTGCATTCTGTTGAGGTTTCTTCTAGACTTGATGAATTACTTTCATAGAAAATATTCGTTCATTGACAGGATTCGAACGAATATTTTCTATGAAAATTTCTCGGACATTCAGGCCGGTAAATGTTATTTAATACTGTTTATCATAAACAGAGCATTTGCTTAAATACTTGTATCTATAAAATAACAACGTTAAACATAAATAAAAATGTCTTTAATAAATAAATTGTCGGACCTCGTCCATTTCTTAACATATATATATATATGTTATAAAACCACCTCATATGGGGAATAGCTTATTTCGGCAGACGAAGATATCGGTCGTCTGTCTTATCAACCCCGGTGTGGACTGAAATAAAAATTTAACTGTGAAAGATAAAAACAAAAAAGGGAAAAAACATTGAAATGGATAAATTCTGTATTAATTTTTCGCTTTTTTTATTTTTTATTTTTATTATTTAGTTAAATTTCTATTTCTGTCCACACCGGGGTTGATAAGAGAGACGACTGCTATCTTCGTCTGCCGAAATAGGCTATTCCCTATATGAGATGATGTTGGATTTTATTGTTTATTGATTATATATATATATATATATATATATATATATATATATATTGTTTTAAAAATGACAAAATAATGGGGATTTATTTTCTTTAACAGGAAACTTTTGCGTTCACACGTCTCTCAAAAAGATTTGTTGGAAAAATCTACCATGGCTGGGTAGGAATAGTCAAACACTTGTCAATCGGTTGTTGGCGTGTTTGACATCTAGTTTTTCTACTGTCAAGTTGCGTGTTGTCTTTGATACTATTCCGGTGTTTCTATCTTTCGGTAAGGATGGTTTGGCCTAAATGCAAAGCAATTCTGTTATTTAGCAATCTAAATGTCTGTGTGAGGCTGATTATGTGGAGCGAAGCAACATGTAGTTGGAGTAGCACTTACCTCCTCATACCTACTCATATAAGACAGGGTGGAGCCAGCGAACTGTATTCGCTTGACTCGGTTTGCGAGTCAGCGGTTGGACTACATTTGTTGAGCAGCCCGGGTTGCACTTTGAAATATTCTGCCGAAACCTTGAGGGTACTGCACAAACCTCGGTCGGCTAAACATTTACGTTTTTTAGATGCTGTTCATATCAAGCTTTATCGACCGACAACGTGCAGGTAGAAGGTGAACTTTTTTCGTTCTCTGTGTATCATGGGTGGGTCGTGAGTACAATTTATTTTGTATTCACGAGAAACATATTTACATTGATTTATTGTTTTAGCAATAAATTTGTTTTAGTCGAGGCTCCTCCCTACCCACACCCCATGCAATTTTTAAGTATTGCCATTTATGATTATTTTTTTTTGTATATTTGCTTTTTTACAGCGAATCTTTATGAAGATTTATTTATTTGTTTACTGACATATCAACACCTTATGGGTCATTTAATGCGGAAATTTAATTTTTTGGGAGCATTAATAATTTCCTTGACAAAAAAAAATTATTGCTGGTAATTTTTACTATGAAAATGTATTGCTAATATTTTTGCCATATTTTTTAATGCTTTCATAGTGTTTTGACCCCAGTTTGGGGGTGAACGATTTACACATAGCTGGGACCCTAACCGGTAGACCTGGGGACAACAGCAATTATGAGGTGGTTGCATGATCCTAAAAACCACTCGATCATGCAATCGGATGTAGTTTATTGTCATACCCAAGACAACTTTCTGAAGACGTATTGGTCGAAAAAGGTTCCTTTTAAAGAAAAAGAATGCACTCTGTCAGTTTTAAAACAATATATAAATTCTGTGATATATATATATATATATATATATATATATATATATATATATATATATATTTTTTGTTATAGGATATATGTTCGAATGTAATATCGTATAATAAATAATATTGCTCTACTATTGTACTGAGCACTATTTTTAAATTAATGTTGTGTACGTTTGATTTTATATTTGATTTGTTCTCATTTCATTTGTATATATATATATATATTATATATATATATATATATATATATATATATATATATATATATATATATAGGCTGTTTTCATGCTGGACGCAATCGTCAGGACTAACGATTGAGTCCAGCATGAAACACCCTGTCGCCTCTGAGTGTTGACTTCAATGTTCACTTTTATATTTATAATTACATACGCTTTATCTCTGATATTGAACACTTTGTCCCGTAAACATAGCACACCTTAAAACTATATTTCTTCATCTATCATATATATATATATATATATATATATATATATATATATATCAGAATTAGTTCTACCTCATGTTTGAGATAACTACGTAGATCTTCCAGCTGTCATAGTTTAGTGCTCCAGATAAGATTTAAAGATATGCAGGCTCTTCCCACCAGAAAATCTGCGGCAGTGAGATCGCTACTGGAGAGGTAGATACAGGTAGACTTAGATAAAATCATTCATTTTAATGTTAGGAGAAATATTTTACACTAATCTTTGCTGAATTGAACTGAGAACGTTATGAAACTCGCAATAACAATTTTGTCATCTTTTCTACCACTGGGAGAGGAAAAGTTCTCTGCCTACCTGACATAAGCAACATGTTTGAGTGAACATTAATAAAAAGTTTTCTCACCAAGTCGCTGACCATAAGTAGGTGAACGCTGAGATCAACTTCAACCATATCCATGGGTCGAGACATTGTAGAGTAATCCCGACTGGGGATATTCTGTCGGATTGAACGTTCTCTTTCCGAGGGACTCAGGCCGAATGAATTTACTGCAAAAGAAAGAAAGAAAATACTTAAAAAGTAGAAATTAATTTTAATTTGTGCAATACCAACAATTGCCATCAGTTCGTAAGCGAAAACAGAAAACAATGATTTGTCATAGTTAAACTCCACCAAACTTGGTTAGCTAAGGATAGAACAATCTACACCGACAAATGGTCTTTTAAACAAGCTTACTTGTCCTTCATAATTCGATAAAGTATCTTTCGATCTTAGTCACGGCGATAAATGTCGAACTCTCTAGACATGCGATTAAGGTGTAAGAAAAACCTCACTGTGTGGCAAGGTTGAAAGCCCGATTAGTGCACGAAAATCGAAGTTGCACAACCCTGAGCTTGGTCAGTACCTAGCTGGGGGATCGCTTGGAGGATACCAGGTGCTGTAAGCTTAGATGTATGGGTAGTGTAATGGATAAAGGCTCTAAATTGTCAATAAGAGAACCTAGTTCCATTTCCGAAAATGCCCTTGGGAAATGTATAAATCCACCTCATCTCCCCTCAGCTATGGGTTAATTAGTAAGACTTTTATCACTAAACCATTATTATCGCAAGAAAAAAGTTCTTACAATCGGAAAATATTTTCTGGCTTTAAATAACCTGCTATACGTTGATAAGTCGTAGAAAACGAACCAATCAAAACCAAATCATCTGTACAGCAGTTACCCACATCTTACTTGCCTTTAGCTGAGTAGTCATAATTGTTATCGATACGGAAAACAGTTAGTACGAAGTTGCAAGTTATCGTGGCCGAGGGCTTGACCATATTCTGGCGTTGTTCAAATTGTTGATCACACTAGATAACATGCTCTTTCCCAGAAACTGTAACTAAGGTCTGCTCAGCATAGTTGCAGTATAAGCCACAGGTGAACTCTGTGGGTGTTGAACAAACACAAATGTGCCTGAGCAAGCGTCCTGCAATAGGGATTGGCTAACCGCTCTAGTAGACGGGAATCATCGAATACGAGTGACCAACTATACATATATATATATATATATATATATATATGTGTGTGTGTGTGTGTGTGTGTGTGTGTGTAAAACAGAATGGCGAATGAGACTACCTGATGTTCGCTTTGCCTTCATTTCATATCGAAATGTACAAATTAACTGTTCGACATCATGACAAACGAGTTTTGTATCTGCTATACCGTATTGTGGTTGTCGGAGAAGTGAGCTTGATAGTGTTCACATGAAGAAACCCCCTCTTTCATCACGGTCTCCCAGACAGTTATTACAGTCATTTGACAGTATTACAGGTTAAGGGCCAATATACTTTTTGTCCGGTACATGGATATAGAAGTAGCGGGTTCGAGTATCAGCGGCAATGGTGTATACTAAACTCTGAAACTCTAATAATTCTTTTAAAGGACAGTAGTTTATGATATCCTAACGAATTTACACATAGGGTCGAAAAGGGGTAAAATTATTGCAAACATATTAGCCAAAACTTCAATATCCTTTTAATAGAAATTCCATACTGAGACCATAAAAACCCAACTGGCCGTCTGGATTGAGAAGGGATTTCATCATAACAACTCTTTGTTATATTTTAAATACTATCTAAATATACGATATTTTCTATAACCTGCAATATCCATGCATACAACGATATACACTTGGCTTTAGAGTAGGTTTTATTTGGTCGCAACACAGCGGTTATTTTCCAGGCTAATCTTTAGACAAAAGCTCAGTTTGTCTCATGCTTAAACGCAGCCTTCAGGCATAAAGGTTGCCTTCAATCATGTAACAGACTGTCACCACTTGGTGTGGACCTTAGTGTCCACTTTTATATTTACTTACGCTCTATCTCTGATATTGAGCATTTAGGCATAAATATACCATATCTTAAAACTATCTTATATATATATATATATATATATATATATATATATATATATATATATATATATAAAATTATAACATAAATATGTTATAAAATCAATACAAAAATAGCCATTTTGTTTTAACATTTCTGGTGTTTTATCACTTGATAAGACGCCAGAAGTGTTGAAACAAAATGTTTATTTTTGTAGTGATTTTATTACATATTTATGTTATAATTTTCGAATAAATTATATTTGTTGAGTACTCTTTTGAAATAGTATTTTCTGGTTATTGGAATTCATTCCGTATACAAATCAATATCCTATATATATATATATATATATATATATATATATATATATATATATATATATATATATATGTGTGTGTGTGTGTGTTTATAATAAAAAGAAAGAACATTAATATATATAATGTTATTGATATTTTTATTCTTACAAAACAGTGCTCAATGTAAATTTACAGAGCATAAATATTATAAATTAACTGATTTAAAATATGGTTTCTTCGCTACACAGGAATTACCATATTTCAAAAACTTTTTATTTAATATTTAATCATATTGATCATAGTTACTTTTACCTTTGGAAAATAACTAATACTAAGATACTAATATAGATAAGGCTGACAAACTTTAAAATTACAAGGGGAGATTTTGCATTCTGGCATCTCCCTTCACTCATCACATCGCTTTTTGATCTAAGACTAGATTGTACGGTGAAATAATTGAAAGACGAATGTGTGGACTGTGCTTTTTAAAAGTAAGCTCATTGAGTTTAATTTTATTAATCTTCATTATCAAACAGTAGCTGTGATCATGGTATTTTCGTGAGCGTTCTTTGTTAACTTGCAACCGAAGGTACTGGAGTATGCAAATAGAAGCATTTTGTAATATAAATTTAATAGCGCTGTCTACTGACTGTTGCAGCACTACAGGGTGATTGAAAAGTAACTCCCTATTTTATGTATGATTGACTCTTCCGTCTAACTATAATTTTTAAAAGAGAGGAGAGTCCATCATACATAAAATAGGGAGTTACTTTTCAATAACCCTGTACAAACCGACTGTGAGAAAAACTGGATACCAACATGAAAACTTGGACTTATTTGCGAGCTGAAAATTTAAAAAGAAAAACAGCCAAGAGTTATCTCGTAATAAAAATGTTTTCGTAAATTCTATCAGATACGGTAAACTTAAAATACGAAAAGCCCATCACAAAAGATCCTTCTATCAGTGGTCCCTCTAGCTCTGGTAAAATTAGTAAATCGTGCACGAATTGAATCCCCCATTTAAGATTCTCAAGTCTATTTGCGAAATTACTATAACTATGGAAATAGGAAAAGATGACAACGTATGTAAATGAAAACTGAAAAAAAAAAGGTGCAAGGCTAACAGATATACCAGCCGACACGATTGAATAGGCAGTTTTTTGTCAGAAAGATATGCATTTATTACGCACGGCCGAACAAATTTGGACGTCACTCAGGGGTCTTGCGCTAAGAAAGGGATCTGACCCAGCTTTGCGTAACCTCCATCTTAAAATTTGGTTGCCACGAATCTAATGGAAATTGTCAAAATCTGAGTATCGCTTCCATGCTCATCTCTTCCGGTAACGGTTCTCGCAAGAAAAAAGACATTTCGACAGAAAATTTTGTGGTAATGCACTTATAAGTAATACTTCGAAAAAGGGCTATAGTTGCTGACCCATTTTTACCGAACACTATTTCGTAGCCTTTTCATTTAAATACGTTAATAATATGCGATATCTCTCACTGAAAAGGCATGATCTTGAAATTACTTACCTTCATAAAAGAATACGTCGAGTTCTTTAGGGAAACATATTCTTCGCAAAGCATCATGTGTATTCACGGGCTTCTAAAATCTACTTTAGTTATATAATTATTAATTTTGAGACATGCAGACACGATGTTTTATCATGTGCAAAATGCTATAAGAATAGTTAATCGATTGGATGCGGCACCATTTAAATAAGGTACATGTTAGAAAATCTTTATAGATTAAAATATTACGTTATTTTGTGGATTCTTTTAAAATTTTTGTAAAAGAAATAAAGAGAGTTATGTTTCTATTTTTAAATTTTGTTTTTATTTTTCATTTTTTGTGTATATTTTTTTAGCGTTTGTGTTTATGTATGTATCAATTTTAAAATTCTTTTTCACGCTTGTTAGTTTTAATCTATTAGGTTTTACTGAAAAGTTCTCGGCCCAAACAGCAAGGATTCAAAAGGAAATTTTAGCGTTTGGTAAATTGGTAAATTGTCTCCCCCCATCAATTAAACATTTCTGATGATCAATATTTTTTTACTTTAAACCTGACCAATTACCATAAGTCATATTTTATTTAATCATAAATTATTTTTGGTTTGTAAATAAATAAATATTCATATTATAACTGCGTTGAACTTATGAAATTTTATCAATTTCAAATACTGCAATAATACTTTACTGTCCGGATAAACTAGTTAACTATAAATATCATAATATTTAATTAATGATTGAATAACGAAGGAGAATATTTTTTTTTGGAAATTTCAAATACTTTACCAGCTGCATCTAATATTTTTAGAAGTAAAATAATCCGGAGTTTCAGTTATTCCATTCTTCATTGTTTTCCTTTCAAGGGTTGCGTAGGCGTCACCTGTGTTATCATATGGCGTTGGGGTTTATGTATGCATTGTTATTACTAATAAGGCATTTCCTGTACATTTCAGTACTACGCTTTTTCTCACTCGCAGAGGATATGCAACATCTTAAGTCGCCGCTTTTGTTTTAATATATATATATATATATATATATATATATATATATATATATATATATATATATATATTCCATGGTCCATGTTCATAATTTATTCCATTGGAATCGTTTGTAGGTCTGATGAATTGATCGTATTTACGATTCCAATGGAATAAATTATGACGATGGAATATTAGTGTTTAAGCCTTTTTATTATATCTTTACTCTGTCCTAGACATTGAGTTCTACCTGGATTCTTCCTCTTGGAATTTTTTTTTCTAAAATTATACATGTATGGGTATTTATATATTTTGCATATGTTGTATATTTTACATGTATTATTTTATCATCTATCTATTATCTATCTATCTATCTATCTATCTATCTATCTATATATATATATATATATATA